ACAAAAACCTAATCATAGTTTACCAGCCAATAGGCCATTACTATTATTGATGACACTGACCGACAAACGATAGGAAACCTTCGCCCAGAGCCCAAGAGCCTTCGTTCTCCAACATGTACTGATCGAGTTCGGCGACATACTGCATGTCGTCCGGATTTATTCGGCCATCGATCAAACCAACTAAACGTTCCAATTCATTTTGTACCTATTAATTATACGATGAAGTGTATAGGTACCATACAATATTGAATGTAAATATATCAACATTACGACTATACAGATACGATAATGTATTTCAACCCTACGTTTATGGTATCCAGGAACACTATAGGTGGGTCACGAGCTTTACGCTGTAACTCGAGCTCCTTCCTTGCCAAGTCTTCCGCTTCATTGACGTCGACTACAGCTGCGGGCCGGAGAACTTCGTTATCCGCATTTACTCCATTCGTTCCGTTTTCAGACATTTTTTTGCGAATTTCGCCGTTCCTTCATACGTAAAATTACAAAYAATGATCATCGTGAATAATAAATTTATTATTCACATAGGTAGGCGCAAACAAGGTTGTGTTTAAGCTTTGAATAGATCTCCCAAAAACGAATGTCATACATACACCACATTATAAGTGTCATTCAAGTTTCCAAAATAAACTTGAGCTTCAGCCCCCTCTCCCCAAATCTCAAACACTATTTTTGTGCTTATGATTATCTGACACTCATATTGTAATTAAATATAATAAACGCACAATAATATAGAAATATATTTAATACAAGTTACGATGCACCTACCTACTAGAGCTGGGTTCGGACTCGGTACAAAACTGATCGCTCAAGTTTTTGTTCTTGTTCTTCTTTTTCTTCTTTCTCTTATCTCTTTTTTCTAGTTTCTCGTTTAGTTTATTGCGTTTTTCTTCTAATAACGCTGATTGTTTTCTGTCAATGGATAAATAGAGAAAAAAAATTAAGAACTGCCGRCATAGGAAACAATGAGCTCCAAGTTATTYGTTCACGCATCTTAAAATGTTTATACAATAAATATAAATGATAGAAATAATATGAGTTATATACACTACAAATGACAACACATTGTTAATTTTAACCAAGTTTTATTTGTATTTAACAAATTTAAGTAGGTTTTACACAGGAAATAAATTTATATATGTATATCTGAATTATAAATTATGTCATAAACGAACCAAAAATGATTGTTTAAAAATGTTCACTATCATAAATACATATGCAAAGGTGAAATAAAATATTCTAATTTAATTGAATAACAAACAAATAAGGGTATTTCATTTATATTTAGCTTTAACAAAATACAAATTAGAGAGCAATATTATTTAGTTGTAAACAACAGCTTGAATTAATGTTATGGCCATATGAATCGTGGATGAGTGTTAAGGAGAGTGATCACTGATATCATCTAAGAATAATGTCATTAATTTCTGAAACAACAAATCACAAACAACGCCATTTTGTTAATTTCTAAATACAAGGTTTAAAATGGTTAATAAATCATTAAAATAGATATTATAACAAGTAAAAGCTAAGTAAACAATAAATTAGACAGTTTATTAAAAGCTATAGGTACATGACATACCTGGCGGAGTCAATATCGTTGTTAAGAGATTCGAAATCGGATCCAGATCTCCTAACGCCTGGATGTATACCAATATTGTTGGAGAATAACTCTAAAATTGGTGCCAATTGTTGACCAAAAGGACTGAAAAAAATTCAAATATTTCAGAGGTGCTTGTGGATATTGAGAAAAAATTATAAGGTATACAAATACACACGTGTTAAGTATTTCATTTGGTAAGTCTAGAATGTAACTAGGAATACTATTCCCGCATAAAAACTGACTAATTTCGTTGCTAAAATTATTGCAATTGTGTCGTAATAAATTATACTTGTCTGCGCTAAGGATACAAAAAAAGATATCATTAGCAATAAATAATAATAGGTACTATTAATACAATAATACCACTATATATATATTAATATAATACGATATATTGACATAATATCGTGTTCGAAATCATTTCCCTATGGATAATATACAGRGTTTGTACTTACGAAAATGTATCCTGTTCTAGTCCACGCAAATACTCTTGAAACACGTCTTCCGGCAAACAGGTCTTCCCCAAACTATGGGTACGTAATGGACTTCCCAAGGCTGTGGTGCCCTAGAATAATCGAAAGAATCGGCGTCAAGTACTAAACGAGAAGGAGTATATATTATTTCCACTGAAAGTATGCAACGATTGGCCACAGCGTTGAGTTAGAAATACTGTGTACCTATTTTTAAACTGAACAGAGTGGGATTTAGTCGAATTGGAATGGTGTCAAAATGTGATGTGGGATAGACTTTCATAGACGAAGCATTCAGCAAAACACTATATACCTAAGGATAAATTATAATACAATACACAATATAATGTTATCACACTCGTATTATATAATGCACA